CATCTCCAACTCCATGAACTCTTGTTGGTTTCAGATGTTGTCTTCAGCAGTGATGGATGTCAGGTCAGACACACACATGCGTGCCGTATGCTCCTCTGTCAGTTTTATGTGTGTGTCCTGGCGGCTGTCTCCTGCACACACACACACTCGCAGTAGATAGGGATCATCTCAGATAAGGGTGTATAGTGACACGGTGATGGTATAGTGATACTGTAGCGCCGCTGCTGGTGCTGATGATGGTCTGATGGAGTGTGTGTGACGTCTCGCTGTGCTGCTGTTCTGCAGACCCGGGGCAGTGGTCGGCGGGTCACGTGCGGCAGTGGCTGGACTGGGCGGTGCAGGAGTACGGGCTGCCGCCGCTGGACGTGTCTCTGTTTCAGGGTGTGGATGGGAAGCAGCTCTGCAGGATGAGCAGAGAGGAGCTCCAGCGTCTGACCAGCAGCTACTCTGCAGACGTGCTGCTCTCTCACCTGCACTACCTCAGAGAGAGTGAGTGTCACTCGCCCGCTCGCCCCGCCCCGCTCACTGCAGACCTGCTCAACTCTGAGCCGCTCGCATCACGCTTCAGGACTCACATCATCTCTGACCTTCTTCACCCTGCTGACCTTTGGCCTTCTTCACCCTCTTGACCTCTGACCTTCTTCACAATGTTGACGTCTGATCTTCACCCTGCTGACCTTTGGCCTTCTTCACCCTGTTGACCTCTGACCTTATTCACACTTCTGATCTTCTTCACCCTGCTGAACTCTGACCTTTCTTCACACAGTTGACCATGACCTCCTTTTACCTGGTTCACCTTGGTGACCTTTGACTTTATTCTCCCTGCTGACCTTCTTAACTCTGCTGACCTCTGACCTTGTTCACTCAGTTGATCTTTGAGCTCTTTTACCCTGCCCATCTCTGATCTTCTTTTACCTGCCATTCTCTGACCTCCTACACCTTACTGGCCATTCACCTTCTATACCCTGCTGACCTCTGACCTTTTTGCACCTTACTGACCTCTGACCTTTTTCACCCTGCCGAACTCTGACCTTCTTCATGTGGCTGACCTCTGCCCTCCTTTTACCTTGTTCACCCTGGCGACCTTAGATCTACTTCAACCTACTGACCTCCTTTACTTTGCTGACCTCTGACCTTGTTCACTCAGTTGACCTTTGCCCTCATTTACCCGGCTGACCTCTGACCTCCTTTTTACCTTCTTCACACACACACACACACACACACACACACACACACACACACACACACACACAGAAACACTCAGATACAGACTAACCAAACACTTACATACACACAAACTTTCACACACAAATATACACAAATACACACACAAACTCTCACAGAAATACACACACAGACACTCACGCACAAAAACACACCTGCACGACACACACATGCACACACACACACACACAAACTCTTGCACACAAACACACACATACATATGTAAACGAACACTTACTCACACACGCACAGACACACGCAGACTCATGTGCGCTGCATGTGTGTGTGTCCGTGATGGTGTGCCAGGTGTGTGTGTTCAGGTGTTCACTCTCCTCTCTCTGGATGTGTTCTCTCTCAGCTCCACTTCCTCACTTGACTTCAGATGATGTTGACAAAGCCTTGCAAAACTCCCCGCGGTTAATGCATGCTCGCAACACAGGTAAGCAGCACTGGCCCCGCCCATCAGCCGTCTGACTCCGCCCACCGACCTGAGCCCGCCTGCCGACACCCGTCACACACACACACACACACACACACACAGCTGCAGCTCCTGGTTTCCTGCATGTGCTCATGATGCTCAATGTGATCTGAAGGTCAGATGTAGACGTGTGCGTGTGTGTGTGTGTGTGTGTGTGTGTGTGTGTGTGTGTGTGTGTGTGTGTGTGTGTGTCTGTGTGGGTGTGTGCACGCGTGTGTGTGTATGTTTGCAGGAGGAGCCAACTTCATCTTTCCCAACACACCAGTCTACCCTCCAGACGCCAGCAGAGGAGCCAGCAGAGCAGGTCTCTCTCTCTCTCACACACACACACACACACACACACACTCATTCACACAAAAAACACACACATATACGCAAACAGACACAAACACTCACTCATATACATAAACAGCAACACACACACACACACACACACACACACACACTCACACACACTCACACACACACACTCACTCACTCAGTGTTGTGTGTTTCCTCAGATGTGGGTTATGACGCTGTCAGGCGCTCTGGATGGACTCCTGCTCTTCCTGCAGCTAAAGGTTGGACAGATGAGCATGTGCTGCACGCTTTACACTGACACCATCATACACACCAAGTCTAACCTCATCGTCTGTGTGTGTGTGTGTGTGTGTGTGTGTGTGTGTGTGTGTCAGTTTCTCAGAGCTCTGCCGCCATCATGAGCAAAACTGAAGAGCAGAGAGCGCAGTTAGGTGAGAGGATCATGGGTAATGTGCTTCACTGCGTTGTGTACACTGCACCACATCTACAGCATCATGCAGGACACACTCCATGTGCACACAGTGATGACACCTTACTCAGGCCTGATGAACACATCCTACATACTGATACACAGATGAGTGTGTGTGAAGTCCAGCATCCTCAAACTGAATGGATGGATGGATGAATAAATGAATAAATAAAGGGGATGTCTGTGTGTGTGTGTGTGTGTGCACATGTGTGTGTGCACATGTGTGTATTTATTTGTATGCACGTGTGTTATGCACACACACACACACACACACACACACACACACATACTCTCATGTGGTAACCAACTGTTGGGCTCCTGAGATGGGGGGTGAAGTGGTCAGTGATAGTGATGACTGGGGGGGCGGACGGTGGGACATGTGGTGCGGTCGGTGCAAGTGAAGATGAGGTGGGAAGATGGGGTGGGGGGTGATCTGGTCGGCAATAGTGAAGACTGGGGGACGGGTGGTGTGTTGTGGTCGGTAACAGTGAAGATAAGGGGGGAAAACAGGGTGGGGTGATTCGGTCGTCAATATTGAAGACGGGGGGAGTGGAAGCGGGGACTGATAAGGAAGACCAGGGTGCGGACGGCTGGGGGGGTGGACCGGGGGACAGGTGGTGTAGTGTGATTGGTGAAATTGAAGACGAGGGAGGGAAGATGGGGTGGGGGTTTGGGGGGGGGGGAGGGATGGGGGGGGATGATGCAGTCGTGGATAGTGAAGTAAAAACCACGAACTGACTGGGGGACGGGTGAGGGTGTATAATTGGTGAAAGTGAAGTCGCAGGGCCCCTAAATTCCCTGGGCCCTATGCACTTTGCCCCCCCTCCCAACTTGCAACGCCCCTGTGTGTGTGTGTGTGTGTGTGTGTGTGTGTGTGTGTGTGTGTGTGTGTGTGTATGCAGCCACAGAATCATGCCTGATGTGTCCTTCATTGTTTTCTCTGTAGATCCGTATCAGATTTTAGGGCCGACCAGCAGCAGACTGGCCAACCCAGGTGAGAGCAACAGCTGATCTGGATTCAGCCCAAACCAGTCAGATTTGTTTGCAAAGTCACATGATTTCAAAGTAGCTTTCTATAATATCATGATGTGTATGTTCATGTACATTGCTAAATGTTTTGGGACCCTCCAGATCAGTTCAGCTGCTCAGTTGTCAGTTCTCCCTGTGCTATAAGTGCAGCCGTGACATTTCCTCACTACTACATATTCCACCATCAACTCCTATTGGGTCAGTCCGGATCATATTCCTCTAATGTTTATAGATATATTACACTCGCAACAGAACCTGGAATCATGCAGAAACATTTTTAATTATGAGTTCATGCTAATGCCAGAGACATGAGGCTGATTAGCATGTACTTGGCAGATACTTTGAACAGATTTCCGAGATGAGCCAGGAGGAGTCAGGCGTGGTGGAGGGACTGTATTATAGGTGAGCAGCCAAAAGCTGAAGAGAGACTGCATGCATGATTTAAATAGACCTCTATGACAGATGTCAGACCCAGATTGGTACATGTCTGCTGACTATGAGCTGATGCAAGCTTGACTGACATGTCTTGTCTGCACTACGCTATGCTCCATATTCATTACAAAGTGGACCTGCATTTGGGAACCACACCTACTCAGACATGAAGAGGTAAACATCACAGAGTGGGTCAGCTCAGGCTGAGGGTCAGTGTGCACAGGAGTGGCCGCAGAAGAACTCTAAACATCATCTGGCCTTTTGATCATCTCCAGAATATTGTGTAAAGCTTCAGGAATGAGTTTCTATGGATAAGCAGCTGCATTAAGCTGCACTTTACATCACCAAGAGCATTGCAAAGTGTGGGATGCAGGGGTGTAAAGCTGGCCAGCACTGACTCCAGAGCAGTGGAGACATGTTCTCTGACCAGTCACGCTTCTCTGGCTGGAGCAACCAATCATAGTTCTCTGTCTAGAACATCCAATGGCGCTTCTCTGTTGGGAGTAACCAGTCATGCTTCTCTGTCTCCCAATCTGATGGACAAGGCTGGGTTAGGCAGTGGCCAGGAAATGGTACTTGGCCAACTGCATTGTGCTGAGTGTAGGGGGGTTGTTGTGGTGCTTGCTCGACCCCTTGGCTCCAGTACGTACCAGTACATTTTCAACAGTTTCATGCTCCTAATTACACGTAGGGGACACGAATGCCTGTTCAGCTTGACTGCACACCAGCTTCACAGCAAGCTCCATGAACACATGGATGAGGAGTTTGCTGTGGAGTCCTGACCTCAGCCCCACTGAACACCTTTGGGATGATTTGGAGCCAGACCTTCTCATCCAACCTCAGTGCTAGAACAGTCAGATATGACCATCAATAGTGTCTTTAATCATCTGAAAGAGTAAGATAGGGATGGCAGATTAAATTGATGTGCATGTAAATGCAGATGTCCCAAAACCGTGGACATTATAGTGCATATATCTGTGCATAATATATAGTTGAATATCATCATGGCATGATGTAAATCTACTCTCCAGTAGTTGGGTTGTGCTGTGTAGTGTGCAGTATATTGTTTTGTGTATATGGAATCAGTTTGTCAATGATGGTGTGTGTTTTGTGGTCAGGCTCTGGTCAGATCCAGCTGTGGCAGTTCCTGCTGGAGCTCCTGTCCGACAGCTGCAACTCGTCCTGCATCACTTGGGAGGGAACCAACGGCGAGTTCAAGATGACGGACCCGGACGAGGTGGCGCGACGCTGGGGCGAGCGGAAGAGCAAGCCCAACATGAACTACGACAAGCTGAGTCGAGCCCTGCGCTACTACTATGACAAGAACATCATGACCAAAGTGCACGGCAAGCGCTACGCCTACAAGTTCGACTTCCATGGCATTGCGCAAGCCTTGCAGCCGCACCCGCCCGACTCCTCCATCTACAAGTACCCTGCGGTGGCGGCGGATCTGCCCTACGTCAGCTCCTACCACCCGCAGAAGATGAGCTTCATGGCTCCTCATCCTCAGGCCATGAGCGTCTCCTCCTCCGGCTTCTTCAGCGGGCCGGCTCCGTACTGGAACACACCAGCGGCAGGGATCTACGGCGGGCCACGGCACCCCCCTGCTCACATGCCCTCACATCTGGGCTCATACTACTAGAAGAACAGCAGGAACATCTCAAGACCAGCAGAGACACTCACATAATAGTTGGAGAACAGCAGGAACATCTCAAGACCAGCGGAGATGCCCAGCAGAGGCAGGACAGGGGATGTAAAGGGCAGATATCAGGCCGCTGTTAGAGACCTGCTGCATGATCAATACTTATTCATCTATAATGTTATCTGTACCTTATTGTACAAACATGCATATCAGAGAGAGGCGGAGCGTAGGTGAGACGGGTCAGAGGACAGACAGACAGGCAGAGGGAGACGGATGGTCAGAGGAGGGCAGACAGACAGACAATGGAGGTCAAAGAAGATCAGAAGATCACAGACAGATGGACGGACAGACAATGAAATAGACAGAAGAGGCAAGAGACAGACGGTCAGACAGAAATACAGTCAGATGGACAGACAGTCAAACAGGCAATCACATAGAGGAGGACAGACGGTCAGATGGTCAGACAGACCAAGGACAGAGAGATAGATGGACAATCAGACCAAAACACAGTCACACCGATAAACAGGAGGACAGATAGATGGACAGATCATACAGACAGATAAAGGATGACAGACAATCAGAGGGACAATCAGAAGAGGAAAGATAGTCAAACGGGCAAACAGACAGAGCAGGGAAGACCAATGGACAAGCAGACACACAGACAATCAGACAGAGGACAGACGGTAAAGCAGACAGTCACAGTCAGACAGGCAGACTGCAGGTTGGTGATGTGGGTCTGCAGTGTGTGTTAAAGCATGAAGAATGAAGCTCCTGCCGTGTTTCTCAGTATTACTCCGTCCTCGGGGCATCAGAGAGTGTTCTGTGCCTCTAAACTATGCAATCATGTAGAAAACTGGAAGCTTTCAGATGTTTTTCTTGACCTCAGATCTTTCCAGACTTAAGGTGCGTTTATATGAAGCCGTGCCTTACAGACAGACTCAGCGGAAGACATTTACCAAAGACAGCAGTATTTCTATTATTATTATTATAATGACAATGTTCCGAGTCGCGAACGCTGTGCGTTTGTTAGATTGAAGTATACTATTCAGTGTTATAATTCTTTTTCTATCATAGGTATATAACTTATGCATTTAAACACTATGAGTTGATCTCAGCCAGCCAATCAGGCGTTAGTCCTAGACTCTGTCTGACGGCGGCTTTACAGTGATGCTGGACTGCAGAAGCTCACGGCCTCAGCCCGACTGACCCACAGCACGGCACACACACGGCCTGAGACTGCTGACAAAGGGAAAACACATATAAATTATATGATTTTCTACTGAATCAATTTAATAAAGTATTTTCTCCTGGATAAAGAAACACCCACATTGTCTATTGTTACTTTAATAAACAGACCAGGGACTGTTGACCCAACACACACACACACACACACTCATTCACCAGCAGAACACACACACACGCTGTCCGAGCGTCTCTGTTGCCACAACAGTCATGAACTCTATAATGTGTCTTCTCTGCGGAGCTGGAGTTGAGTTTAACACACAGATATTGTACAGGAAAGTCTCATTTATTGAAGAGAAACATCAAACTACTCGTCTAAAACAGCCACAGAAGCTGCATCTGTCAGAGAAACAACCCAGAAGACAGAGCTGTGAGCAGCCCCGCTGACCCCCTACACTCCTCCACTGTCCCATCAGCACCCCAGTCCCCCTCTGTACTCCTCCTCCTCCTCTGTCCCATCACCGCCCCTGTCCCCCTCTGTACTCCTTCTCCTCCTCTGTCCCATCACCGCCCCTGTCCCCCTCTGTACTCCTTCTCCTCCTCTGTCCCCTGTCCCCCTCTTTACCCCTCCTCTGTCCCCTCACTGCCCCTGTCCCCCTCTGTACTCCTCCTCTGTCCCCTCACTGCCCCTGTCCCCCTCTGTACTCCTCCTCTGTCCCCTCACTGCCCCTGTCCCCCTCTTTACCCCTCCTCTGTCCCCTTAGCGCCCCTGTCCCCCTCTGTACTCCTCCTCTGTCCCCTCACTGCCCCTGTCCCCCTTTGTACTCCTCCTCTGTCCCCTCAGCGCCCCTGTCCCCCTCTTTACTCCTCCTCTGTCCCCTCACTGCCCCTGTCCCCCTCTGTACTCCTCCTCCAGCTGCATCTTCTCCGCAGTGTGACTCTGTTCTCTGCAGATCTGCACACTGTGGAAGAGGCTGAAGTCTGCGCTCAGTGTCCCGCTGGTGTTGGCCAGCACCGGCCTGAACTCCTGCCCCCACAGGATCTCCTGCGGCAGGTATGAGGTGCGACTTTGGCAGGATGCGGCCGTGGACTCCACGGTGGCATTCAGCGTCAGCAGTAGCTCAAAGTCCCGTTTCTGCAGGCTGTGTGCGGTAAGGTCCGCCAGCGGGCTCCTCTCGTCCAGCACGTGGTAGAAGGTGAGCGGGAGCAGCAGGAAAGGACACTCTCCACTGGAGTCCATCTGGAAGTCCACCGTGGTCTGGTGTACCAGTGTTTTCTGGCCCTCCAGTGTGACGTGCGGCGCCAGCAGCTTCCCTGACAGCTGGCACTGGATCAGCAGGCTGCTCCGCATGTTGGCCACACGCACCATCAGGCACCAGCGTCCGCCCCTCCGGCACACCACCGCACACCGGCTGAACTTGATGGTTCCCGCACGCTTCTTAGGCCGTGCTAGTTTGGCAAGAAAGGCTCCGGTCACGAAGATCTCAGCCAGCCCTGTGAGCACCAGCTGCAGCACCAGTGCCCCGATGGCCAGCGGACACTCCTCCGACACGTGCCGAAACCCATAGCCGATGGTGGTCTGGGTCTCCAGGGAGAACAGGTACGCTCCGGTCAGTGTGTGCACGTTCATGACGCAGGGTGTGTGGTTGGAGGACGGGTCTGCATGGAAGTCTCCGTTCCTCAGGCCGATGAGGTAGAAGAGCACACCGAACACGAACCACGTCATGACAAAGGTGGAGGCGAAGAGCGTGATCTTATAACGCCACTTCATGTCCACCACCGTCGTCCAGAGGTCATGCAGGAAGAGTTTGACCATGCCCTCCACATTGTCAATTTTTACGTTGCTGCGTCCGTCTTTGGAGACGAGGCGGCGTACGGTATTAGTCATTCTGGCGGATTCTGACCTGCAGGATGAGAAGTGGAGGACGTTATACAGTCTAAGACAACGTTATTATAATCGAAGACAATGTTATTATACAGTCGAAGACAAAGTTATAATCGAAAACAACGTTATTATACAGGCGAAAACAAATACAGTCAAAGACAACTCTACGGTCTGAGAAACTTTACTATAAGACAACATTATTATAATTAAATATAATGTTATTAAACAGTCTAATACAGCATTACTATAGTCTGAGACAACGTTATTCAACAGTTAAAGACAACGCTATTATACAGTCGAAGGCAATAATCGTTGGTGAGGTAGACTTGGGTATTGGGTGAGATTAGGGATGTGGTTTAAACTTTATTTCTACAAGAGCTAATAAACAGCTAATATGTTGATGAGAGGCAGGTAATAAGTGTAATAAGGGTTATTTCTTTAGGTTTGGCTAGAATAAAAGCAGTTTTTACATTTTTTTAAAGTTATTTTCAGAGGTGTAATTCACCCAAAACTGAAACTCTCCCTTTATTTACTCTTCTTCATTCACCTTCACTTGTCACAAAGCAGTTTTCTTCTCTTTTTCTGTTGAGCGTTTGTTTTTCCCGCTATGGAGATGAGTGGTTACGGGTTTCTAACTTTGTCAGAGTATCTACAGAATAAAGAAACTGGTTACGGCAGACTTTAAAGGTCTCTTTAAACTGAATACTGGCATCTTGCTAAATAACTAGTAACATATTATGTACTGTGGCAAAGACAAACGAAATTAATCATTAGAAGTGAGTTATTCATGAACTATAAGGCTGAAAATGTGTTGAAGAAAGCTCTCTGTTAAACACAAACTAATTTTAAATGAAATACTTCTGCCCTCAGATGACCCCTCATCATCCTGCAGAGCAGCATCACAGAAATAAGCAGTGAACTCTGTCATCAGCCCGTCAGATCTGACCGGGTTTACAGCGAGGATTAGGAGCAGCTTATTCTCCATTCTTACACCATTCTGATTTAGGGATAAGGTTACAGTTTTCACAGAAGACGCTGATCCAGGAACATGTAGTACTCTGCACAGTCACAGGCACTCTTCAGTGTCTTAAAGGTGCAGCATGTAGGAGTGCGGTCCACATTCAGAATGTTGGAGAGTGTTTATTCATCGGGCCCTTCTTCCGACATGTGAGCTTTACCTGCACAGCACTTACTAGCTGGCCTCCGTTACACAAACATGAACATGCAGCACCTTTAAACACAAACTGATCTAAGCAAAGGCAACAGCGGTGAAGAGAAACCCTGTGGCTGCCACCTAACACACACCTAAAACCTGTCCTGATTATGAGTGTTTACAGCAGCCGCTTACAATAACCCCGTCAAACAGAAAAACAACATTCTGCTTCAAACAACACTCTCTTCATTCTGACTCATTATTTTGGAAAACAACACTATAATGTGTGCTTGTCTGGAAAATGCTTCTTGATTTAAGAGTTTTCAGATATTTGGACTAGAAACGAGACAACAACTGTACTGAACTCATGCTTGCAGTGCACCTCTCACCATCCATGTTGTTAGTGTTGGAGATACTCTGGTTAATCAGCAGTCTCTCAGAGTTGTGAATTAACAGAGCAGCTCCAGTACACACACACACACACACACACACACACACACACACACACACACACACACACACACACACACACACACACACACACACACACACACACACACACACTTTCTCATATGAATATAAGCAGATTCATCACAGACTTTATTCTGTCCGGTGTGAGTTGCAGTGTGTGTGTGTGTGTGTGTGTGTGTGTGTGTGTGTGTGTCTCAGGTGTGCAGCTCTTACCTGTCTCCTGAACGCTCTGGCTGCTGGTGTGTCCGTGTGTTTGTGGCGCTGTGATTTTGTAGTTAATAAGAAGGACATTACAGTGTGAGGCGTCACCGGTAGAGCCGGTTCTCCCTCAGCTCCTCCTCCTGCAGTCCAGGCGGTCAGTGCTGTACTGTACGCTGTTATGAGTCCAAACACAGACCTGTCTCACATACACACTCATTAGCAGATTAGCAGAAGATGTGCAGAGATTATACCGTGCAGAACTATCAGCATTCACTCTGCAGTTCAGTGCTACTTTACAATAACAGAGCATGAATAATGATGCACTAATGCCTGAACCAGTTAAAGATCACCTACTCTGCCCCTTCTCAACAGCTGTACACGCGTCTCTGCTGTCTCTCTCACGTGCGTTTGTGTGTGTGTGTGTTTGAGCTGGCAACAGCACACAGATGATGTCCTCCAGCTCTCTGAAACTGACCCTTTCAGGCTGTGATCCTCATTGTGGTGTTTTGGTGACTGTCGCTTTAAATGCAAATGAGATTGAGCTCGTTTCAGAAGAGGGCGGAGCTACAGACGGCAGATGTGAAACAGCAGTGTGTGTGTTGTGAGTGCTGCTCAGGTGTGTGTGTGCTTCAGTGTGTGTTGATGCTTCTGTCAGTCTATGTGGCTCCTGTCTCTGTTCATCATCACCTCCACATCTATAATCCTCTTAGTCTATGCTGACATCATCTTCAGCAGCTCAAACACTCTAATGGCTAATGGACAGACGGCTGCTTCTCACTCAGGCCTGCTGGACATGCTAATGAGATGGGCACTAGTGGGCGGGGCTCGGCTTAGTCCCATTATTAATCTGGTGTTGCCACAGCGGAATGAACCACCAACTATTTCAGAAAACCGGAGCACCCAGAGGAAACCCAAACCAACACGAGGAGAACATGCAAACTCCACACAGAAACACCAACTGACCCAGCCGAGACTCAAACCAGTGACCTTGCTGTGGGGCGAACGTGCTACCCACTGTGCCGCCCTTTAATGTAATATAGTTTGGTATATTTCTCTTCGGCCCTCAGCTCTTAGTGATGTTTGGTTTTGGCTCTTCATATATAAAAAGGTAGGCTGCCACTGCTCTGTCAGATCTGGCCTTCTCCTACAGCTTGAGACACGTCGTCTGAATGTCAGCGTTGTCATCCTGGAATGAGTGTGATCATGGGAGACCTGCTTGGCTCTAAATAACAGAAGTCACTATGATTTAGGTTCCAGCTGAACGTGCAGTCACCGGGATTGAGTGGTTGAGCTGGCTGTTGCAGTCTATATGCTAAATAATGTCGTCCACCAGCCTCTCCTCCGACATGGTGCACATGCGGGTTGCCAGATTGACAACACAAACAAGAGCAAGCGTGCCGGAAGATGACTGTAAGCTGATCAGCAATTGTTTGTGTTCCTAATATTTGTGTTATTAAAATGAAATTAAAGACCAGCTCTGTGTGAGTTTCACACCTCTGAATCTGCATCTTATTTCAGAGGCGTTTCCTGTCCTCTAGAGGGCGCAGTCTCAGCATTTTTACACTGAATTGAAATGCTGTTTTCCACCAAGGCAACACAGTGGCTCAGTGGGAAGCTCTGTGGCCTCACAGTAAGAAAGTTGCTGGTTCGAGTCTCGGCTGTGTCAGTTGGTGTTTCTGTGTGGAGTTTGCATGTTCTCCCCGTGTTGGTGTGGGTTTCCTCCGGGTGCTCCGGTTTCCCCCACAGTCCAAACACATGCACTATAGGGGAACTGATCAACTACACTGGCCGTAGTGTATGAGTGTGTATGTGAATGTGTGTATGGGTGTTTCCCAGTACTGGGTTGCAGCTGAAAAGGCATCCGTTGTGTAAAACAGGCTAGAAAAGTTGGTGGTTCATTCCACTGTGGCGAATAATGGGACTAAGCGGAAGGAAATGAGTGAATGTTTTCCACAGATCTGATGACCTTTGACCTCTGCTGAACATGACTGTAGTAATGGCGTCATGCTTGACGTGCCACATCAGCTCTGTGTGGAATGATTGGATCAGGCTGCTGATCTGTTGGTCTGGTGTTCGGGCAGATCTGCATGTACAGTGTTTCGTGTGGATTCCAGACCCCTGTGTTGAGTTCTGATCTCCTCACTGACAGGATCAGTATAACTCTGAAGTGTCTGATTAGCTGTGTGACACATGTACAACATCTTTACAGAAATCTGCAGTGACATGTCTAGTCAAAACAGCTTCTCCGAGTGAATATTACAGTGCTAGCAGTAAGCGCTGGTCAGTTTGCTAATAACCCTCATTTTCCAGCCAGACCAGCTAAAACCAGCCTGGAAATGGCCAAAACCCCTCTAAAACCAGGCTGGTCAACCAGCTAAAACCAGCCAACCAGCCTAGGCTGGTTTAAGCTGGATTTTTCAGCAGGGCAGGGTAACGGCTGAGTAATACTAGGGTATTTTTATGGTTAAAATGCAAATACACGAGTCACACACTCACAAACTGTGTGTGTGTGTGTGTGTGTGTGTGTGTGTGTGTGTGTGTGTGTGTCATAAGTATCCTGCAGATGGCAGAAGAGCTCTGGTGAAGTCAGCACAGTTGGTCATGTGATCAGTGAAGTGACGTCATCTTTCCCGCCACGCTTTCATCTGTAACTTTCCACACTTTATGACTGAAACTGACATATTTAATGAATGTCTTAGACTGGCTCAAACACTACAGAAACAGCAGCAGACTTGTGGATATCAGAATTAATGTTTGATGACGTCACTGAAGTTCTTCGTCTGTAGTTGTTTATGTTGTGTTGTTTATTCTTTATATCATGATTTACTATTCTTCAGTTAAGTTTCTGTTATTATTGTCACTATCATCAGTTTCCTGTGTGAGCGACGGATACTTGAAGCATTCATCAACAATGAATACATGAAGACTGGAACAGACTTATCCAGCGATAAGAGGAGTGATGCAGCAGAGGGCGCTGTTACACATCTACTGAAACACAACACACACACACACACACACACACACACACACGCAGTCGCACAAACAGCACATGCATGTAGATAAAGCAGAAGCTGAAAGAGCTGAAAGAGCTGATGTGCTGCAGGACTCCATCTCCATCACTGAAGGAGGATTAATCCCACATGCAGGTCAGTATGACGGTGGATGAACAAATCCCCAACACCAGCACAGTGTCACTCCAGCAGCACACATCACACACCTGTACACTTTACTCTGTGTTTACTGTTGAGCTATTTCACACTCAGCACTCTGGCTGACATGAGCTTATGTGTGTGGGAAAATGATCTAGTGTTGGACACACACACAAACACACACACCCACACACACACACACACACACACACACACACACACACACACACACACACACACACACACACACGGGGAAAGAGAATTAGAAATGAACAATGATTAAGTTTTATTTCTCCAGATCCAGCATCTCTGTGTAAGAGAGAGAGAGAGAGAAAGAGAGAATGTGTGCGTGTCTGTGTGTATCTTTCTCTTTCTGTGCATGTTTGTGATGTTTGTGTGTGAGAGAGAAAGAGTGTGTGTGTGTGTGTGTGTGCGCGCGTGTGTGTGCATGTGCGCGCGTGTGTGTGTGTGTGTGTGTGTGTGTGTGTGTGGTCTCAGTGTCCACTATGTTATATGGACCAAACTAATGATAAAAATGAAAGAATAAACATTGTTGACCTTGTGGGGACATTTCCTGGTCCCCAGGAGAAAAATAGTTCATGAGTCATAAAGTTTGAGAGTGTGTGTGTGTGTGTGTGTGTGTGTGTGTGTGTGTGTGTGTTGATGAAGTGTAGTGGAGGCCTCAGTTTCAGCCAAAGCACTGCTGTCTGTCACACACACACACACACACACACTGCAGGGCATGTGTTAATAATGAATAATCAGAGTTGATCTGCTTCTGTCAGACGCTTCCCCTGACCACCTCACTCACCATCCTGCAGAGACACGAGACCATGAGGAGGAGATCACGCTTACTCCTGCTCCAGCAGCTCTCTCTCTGTGTGTGTGTGTGTGTGTGTCTGTGTGTGCGTGCGCAAGTGTGTGTGCAAAGGGAGTGATGGGCTGAGGATTATCGGGCAGGTTTGTGTTGTGTTTTGGGCAGGAAGTGAGCAGCTCTCACAGCATCAGCTTCCTGTACATGTTGGTCAGCAGCTGCTCTCACAGTCAGAGATCAGACACACACTTCATCTCAGCCTTCAGGATGTGTGTGTGTGTGTGTGTGTGTGTGTGTGTGTGTGTTGGTCCACATCATTCTAGTGCATGTTTGTGCTTAAATCTAGAGGTTCAATCAAAGATGAATAGTCACAGTGGGAAGATGGAGGATCTGGTCTTTGTGTGTGTGTGTGTGTGTGTGTGTGTGTGTGTATGTTTATGCATGTGTATATTTCGTGTGTGTGTGTGTGAGAGCAGGTCCGTCGCTCAGTGGCAGCAGGAGGATCTTCTCTGTGAAATATGGGAATTGATTCTGCAGTATCTTGTTAACTGCTGATTTAAAGCAGCAGCAGACGTGTGTGTGTGTGTGTGTGTGTGTGTGTGTGTGTGTGTGTGTGTGTGTGTGTGTGTGTGTGTGTGTGTGTGTGTGTGTGTGTGTGTGTTCAGCATCACAGTAAATCTCTGATAACTGAGCGCCTCCTTACAGTAGTTGTGTGTGTAGAGATGCTGTGACTGTGACTGAACGCTGGATCATCACTGCAGTCCTCCTGATGCTTCAGAATGTGCAGATTTGATCATCAGGAAAGATTGATAATCGTGATCAATATAGAAACAGACTCGTGCAGGCTGTGCTTTTATTCATCCATTCATTTCCCCTGAGCTCTGTCTGTTGTTTATCAGAGATCTTCTATTCCAGTGTGAGAGCTGGGTCTTCATCTACAGTGAGCACGTTCTGCAGTTATTGGCTTTATTTTCTGTTTAATGATGAGGTTAAATGCTGCATTTAGTGACATGTTAAGCTCTGTTTAACATGCCAAAATATTTCCTAAACAGTTACAATAAAGAAAAATGAAAAAATAGAACTAATTTATTGCATCATACATCATTAGGAAGAAAATGAAACCTGCTTTTACATTAAAAACTGTAAACTACTGTCATTTATCAGGCAAATAGCAGACTGGCAGCTCATTCAGCTCTCCTCAGTCAGAATTTGGCCATTTCAATATTTAACAATCAAACTCCACACAGAAACGCCAGCTGAGCCAGCCGAGGCTCGAACCAGTGACCTTTTCACTGTGTGGGGACAGTGCTACCCACTGCGCCAGCATGCCACCCCATTAAAACAGAATGATCATTCATTCATTCATTCTCCTTCCGGTTAGTCCCTTTATTCATCAGCCGTCACCACAGTGCAATGAACCGCCAACTATTCCAGTATATGTTTTACACAGCGGATACCCTTCCAGCTGCAACCCAGTACTGGAAAACACCCATACACACTCACACTCATACACTATGGCCAGTGTAGTTGATCAGTTCCCCTATAGCGCATGTGTTTGGACTGTGGGGGAAACCGGAGCACCCGGAGGAAACCCACACCAACACGGGGAGAACATGCAAACTCCACACAGAAACACCAACTGACCCAGCCGAGACTCAAACCAGAGACCTTCTTGCTGTGAGGCCACAGTGCTACCACTGACTGCTCCTATGTGTTTTGAACTGAGCTGTATCCTCTATGGTTGCTCCAAAGCAGCACATCGGTATATATGTGGCATTTGGCAGCAGTAGATACGTCAGATGGTTTAAACAGTGCAGATATGCAGGCTTCACCATATCCTGCACAGCCGCATGCGGCGCTAACAGCAGGAGCATATCTGCAGTCCTACAGGGCCTGAGCAGGGGAAAGAGGAACATGGAGACCATCACATTTGGACTGAGCATGTAGATTACAGAAAGGCAGGAACACAAACACAGAGGTCCTGATATTCAGTCAATTAATAATCGATCAGTTGTTGTGTCTGTGTGGAGTTTGCATGTTCTCCCCATGTTGGTGTGGGTTTCCTCCGGGTGCTCCGGTTTCCCCCACAGTCCAAACACATGCGCTATAGGGGAACTGATCAACTACACTGGCCGTAGTGTATGAGTGTGTGTGTGAATGAGTGTGTATGGGTGTTTCCTAGTATTGGGTTGCAGCTGGAAGGCCTTACATCACATAAAACATAAGCCAGAGTAGTTGTCGGTTCCTTCCACTGTGGTGACTCCTGATGTATCAGGGACACCCAAAGGAAAGCGAGTGAGTAAATGATGAGTGATCATCTGTGTGGCATCAAACGTACAGATTCAGCTAAAGCCTTCAGTGATGAATAAATGATGAGGTGTGGAAAGCAGCGGTTCCTTATGTTCCCTCCTCTAATCTGTGTGTGTGTGTGTGTGTGTGTGTGTGTGTGTGTGTGTGTGTGTGTGTGTGTGTGTGTGTGTACTAGTTTAGCTGTACATATGAGGGCTCAATTGTCTGCACTAATGTAGTGGAATTAGAAAATAATCCAGTAGTGTTGGGATTTAATTTGAATTGAGACATCACTGATGATGAAGGTGATCCATCACTCAGAGCATGCTGCACCAGTGTCTGATGACTGTCAGATGAGTGTGTGAGCGCTGCTGCTCTACAGGCTGAATTAGGCCAGATATCACACCTTAACCTGATATAAAACAATGGAAGTCGACATAATGTCCTCACTAGGATAGGAAAACTAACCTGTGTGTGTGTGTGTGTGTGTGTGGCCTTTGATCTGCTCTGATACACTCAAACATGATTCTCACAGTGTGTCACAGCAGGTCATATGCTGTCTGCTGCTCACTGCCTTTCATGTCTGTGTGTGTGAGTGTGTGTGTGCGAGTGTGTGTGTGTGTGTGTGTGTGTGTTTGACTGTGTGTTAGTGTGAGAGAGAGTGTACCTTGCATTCCTTACATTGTGGGGACTAAATGTGCGCTCACCTACAGCAATACCAGTAATTTTGAGCATGTGAGGAGATTTTCTTTGGTCTCCATGAGGAAAAGGTGTGTGTGTGTGTGTGTGTGTTTGTGTGTGTTATCTAGTGTCTGTGTGAAAGTATGTGTATGTGGGTGTCTGTGTTGTTTGTGTGTTGTTAGTGTGTGTGTGCGCCTGTGATTGTATATTAGTGTTTTTGTGGGTATGTGTATGCATTTGAGGCAATGCAGTGGGTAGCATGATCGCCTTACAGCAAGAAGGTCTCTGGTTTGAGTCTCGGCTGGGTCAGTTGGTCTCTGTGTGGAGTTTGCATGTTCTCCCCGTGTTGGCGTGGGTTTCCTCCGGGTGCTCCGGTTTCCCCCAAAGTCCAAACACATGCGCTACAGGGGAACTGATCAACTACACTGGCCGTAGTGTATGAGTGTGTGTGTGTGTGTGTGTGTGTGTGTGTGTGTGTGTGTGTGTTTTTGTGTGTGTGTGTGTGTGTGTGTGTGTGTGTATATGACAGCATATGTGTGTATGAGTTTGTGTGTGCGTTAGTATGCATGTGTGTATGATGTGATAGTGTGTGTGTGTGTATGTGAGCGTGTGAAGGGCCCCAGGCTGTGTGTGAATGAATGTGTACTGGGTTGCAACTGGAAGGGCATCCGCTGCGTAAAACATATGCTGGATAAGTTGTCGGTTCATCCCACTGTGGTGACCCCTGATTATACAGGGACTTAGCCGAAAAGAAAATGAATGAATGAATGAGTGTTTATGCATTTGTGTGTGTGAGTGTGTATCTGTGTAAGAGTGTGTGAGATTGCTTTAGATTGTTTTTGTGTGTTTCAGTGTGTTTGTTAGTGTGTGTGTGTGTGTGTGTGTTTGTGTGTGTATGATAGCATATGTGTGTATGAGTTTGTGTGTGCGTTAGTATGCATGTGTGTATGATGTGATAGTGTGTGTGTGTGTGTGTGAGCGTGTGAAGGGCCCCAGGCTGCGCTCCGTCAGAGCAGCTGTGTCTGTCACTGTGCTGATCTGCAGTCATTAGCGGTCGGAGCGAATGGACTCAATCTGGCGTCGCCTGTGCAGCTGCTCGGGCCCCGGGGCCCTGTTGACGTCCTGTGGGAGCCGCGGTGGCCTCAGATGCTCCCGACTGAAACATGCTGATCACAGGACTCTCCTGAGCGCTTCGGAACCTCCCGATGTGTGTGTGTGTGTGTGTGTGTGTGTGTGTGTGTGTGTGTATGTGTGTGTGTGTGTGTGTGTGTGTGTGTGTGTGTGTGTGTGTGTGTGTTTGTGTGTGTGTGTGTGTGAAACTGAACCGTCCACAAATGCTGTTCAGTTTGTGAAGCATGATTAATGTGAGTAATGTTCAATAAGATGTGACATGGACAATATTGTAGTCATTTATAATACATACTACAGTGTTTATGAACCATTGTACCATAGTAAAGTGTATTAAACTATTATTTACAATTCTCTGATAATGAACGCTCCAGCATACTGTAATAATAACTGTAGTGAACTGATAAACTGTAATATGAGAGATAGTTTAGTTTAACTGCAATAAACTGTGGTGGATTGTAGTATAATATACCCCACAAGTGTAGAAAACTACAGCACTGGCTCAATTGTTCATATTACTATACTTGTTGTGTTACCATAGCAACTGTAGAATCGCCACATTTGTTTATATTACTATAGGTGTTGTGTTACCATAGCAACTGTAGAATCGCCACATTTGTTTATATTACTATAGGTGTTGTGTTACCATAGCAACTGTAGAATCGCCACATTTGTTTATATTACTATAGGTGTTGTGTTACCATAGCAACTGTAGAATCGCCACATTTGTTTATATTACTATAGGTGTTGTGTTACCATAGCAACTGTAGAATCGCCACATTTGTTTATATTACTATAGTTGTTGTGTTACCATAGCAACTGTAGAATCGCCACATTTGTTTATATTACTATAGTTGTTGTGTTACCATAGCAACTGTAGAATCGCCACATTTGTTTATATTACTATAGTTGTTGTGTTACCATAGCAACAACAGAATCGCCACATTTGTTAATATTGCTGTAGTAGTTGTTGTTACCATAGCAACTGTAAAATCCCCACAGCAGATTAATTCAAGTGCTTCACTGTAATATGCTTTAAACACTACAGTATTTACTGTAAGTTATTATAGTGTTAATATAGTACAAAACACATATATATCCATCATACAATGAAAGAAAATGGTGGCTGATTTCTGTTTTTTGTTTTTGTCTTTTAGCCTAATGTAATGGGTAGCACACAGCGTTCCTCTAATGTCGTTTTGTAATTTTTAAATGACGTTTCCATAAGGAATGATGATCACCAGTGTTCATTATCACAGACTCCCAAATGCGCCAGCAGTGTGTGAACGCAGTTATAACTGGGCTAAATTTAAATGTACCATTGAATTATTCACCCTCCTGTTCAATTTTTATTATTTTACATTTTCCCCAATTTCTGTTTAATCATTAAAGAGAATCTCTTTTTCAGCACATCTCTAATTATAACAGTGTTAATAACTCATCTCTAATAGCTGATGTGTTTCCTCTTCATCATGATGACAGCACATAATATTAGACTAGATGTTCTTCAAGACACTAGTGTTCAGCTTAAAGTGACATGTAAAGGCTTCACTAGGGTAATTAGGGTAAAGTTAGGGTAATTAGGCAAGTCATTGTATAACAGTGGTTTGTTCTGGAGACAGTCCAACACTAATATTGCTGAAGGGGCCAATAATATTGAGCTTAACGAGTTTAAAACAATTAAAAACTGCTTTTATTCTAGCCCAAATAAAACACATAAGAGTTTCTCCAGAAGAACAAACATTAGAGGGAATACTGTGCAGATGCCCTCAACTGTATTTAGTGTATTCATTATTAAATGCTAATTTCCATGTGATAATCGCGCGTCTGATGGGGAAACGCGCTGAATGCATCAGGAAGACTCGAACCTGTGACGCCAGAAGAATCTCTCTCTCTCTCCCTCTCTCTCTCTCTCTCGCTCTCTCTCTTCTCGCTCTCTCTCTTCTCTCTCTCTCTCTTCTCTCTCCCTCTCCCTCTCTCTCTCCCTCTCTCAGTCAGTCTGTGCTTCATTAGAGATCATGTCGGGATGGGAGGATGATGATGATGAGGGCTCTCCGGGTTTTTCTCCGGGAATAATGCGCGTCTTCTTCTCCATCACTGAAGACTGAAGCTCGACAGGATGAAGAACGACTGAGCGGACGGACGGACGGACGGATGGATGAATGAATGAACGCGCAGTCTGGTACGTGTGTCGCCTTCACTCCTCCATCACTGTCGGTGCCGTTTCTCCGTTTCTACTTACGTAAGGCTCTCGGTAATCGAAGAACGCGGAGGAGCAACAGCGCGAATCCGGCATCGGTTCTGGTGCCGGTCGCGTTCGTCTCCATGGAGACCCGGTTGAGGAGCGCGCGCTGAAGCTCCGTTGAGTGTGTGTTTGTGTGTGTGTGTGTGTTTGTGTTTGTGTGTCACAGTTGCGTAACACTCACTCATGTAAGTTGGGAAAGTTCTCCGCAGGTGTTGCGGCCTGATTAATGATGTGACGGACGGTGTGTGGAGCCGGAGCTGATCAGGGGGCGGCGGTGACGTCTGCGCTCCCGCTAATGATATGCATGAGCTGCTAATTAAATGAGCGTGTAGTCGGGAGCCTGTGCCGCTGCTGAAGGCCGTGCTGGCTCCTCAAATCTAATTATTACGCGAACATGGAACATTGTGACGCCTACGCAGGAGTGTCTGCTGGCCAGCTCCGCTCGAACTGGTTTCACTGGTGTATTTGTGGTTCTGGAGTCGCTGCCACTTCACTTGGCACACCGAGCATCTGCCATTGTGAGCGGCTGACGGATGGAGCTGTGTGTTGCCATGGTGATGATGATGATGATGATGATGATGATGGCCGCCTGGCTCATGTTTCCAGTGAAGGGAGAAATCTGCGCTTTAGCGAGCAGAGCAGAGCAGAACCAAACAAAACCCAGAGCACCGTGGCTGGGTCCTGCGTCAGACGGCCCTCGGTCACGCAGCGGGCCCTCAGCTGCGCTCTGGGCTTTTTCTCCATCAGTTGTGGTGTTTTTGCAGGGATCTCTCAGTGCTGGAGACAGCTTTCACCTGAATTAAAGGTGTTAAACTCCAGATTCATCATCTTCAGCTGCAGATCTGAACAGAAACACAACAGAGACTGTGAAGATGATGAAGATGATGATGATGATGATGATGAAGATGATGATCATTGTTGAGGCTTTTCCAAAAGCTGATTGTTTTGGGGTTGGCGTCACAGTGGCGCAATGGGTAGCACAATCACCTCACAGCAAGATGGTTGCTGGTTTGAGTCTCGGCTGGGTCAGTTGGCGTTTCTGTGTGGAGTTTGCATGTTCTCCCCGTGTTGGCGTGGGTTTCCTCCGGGTGCTCCGGTTTCCCCCACAGTCCAAACACATGCGCTATAGGGGAACTGATCAACTACACTGGCCGTAGTGTATGAGTGTGTGTTAATGAGAGTGTATGGGTATTTCCCAGAACTGGGTTGCAGCTGGAAGGGCATCCACTGTTTAAAAAATGAATGACCTTTGTCAAAGCTACAGATGTTATTGGATGAAATAATCTGTCATACACGGATGCTTTAACTGCTCTTGAGAGTGTTCAGTCACGGGCCTGTACACACAAATTAAAGCATCAGAATGATCCAAACTCTCTCAGTGTCGAGGCTGAACTCCACCATGACTCCACAACAATTGTGGGTTTAAACACAGCGATATAGAGGCTGATGTGAAATATGGTGCAGCCCTAGTTAATATCTTAATAATACAGGCAATAATCCAGTCGTCAATGGTGTGAATATGCACAGATACTGTTGTCAGCCAATGATGAACTTCTGCTGAAAGCTTAATGTGACTATTTTCAATTCCATAAAGTTCCTTTTACAGCATCGATGTTGTAATGTAATTCAGATATATTCAGTCACATAGACTAAAGCGTCCATTTGGGTGTTAAAGCATAAAAAGAGCTGAAATAGCATTTAAACACAGCGGCAGGCCAGCACAGAAACTCCATCAAAAACACTGGGGTAAAGTTCATTTCCATATTTTAAAGAGATGGCGTGGAAAACTATAATTGTATGCAGTGCTTCTTGTGTGGTCTGATACACACTTCACATCGTATCTCAGCCAGGCAGTGGAGATCCCTGATTTTCTGTATCAGATCTTAAACTCTGTGATTTTGTATAGGATGACAATTAACCAGAGACCCTGAAGCTGGCTGACTGAAATTACACGCCTGTGCGCATATATCCCCGCTGTTACTTAAAATAAAGTGTTACCTTGCTGAATTTACACTCATCAACTCTCTCTGCCTGACTGGGGACATTGCAGAGGTTATTTATAGAAGCTGCTAATTATAAGAGTTACATCTCAAAGGGACAGTTCCCCCAAAACTGATCATTTACACACTATTTGCACTCATTCCCAACTGGGTTCAAGCCTGAATGAGTTTCTTTATTCTGCTGAACACAAAAGAAGATATTTAGAAGAATGCTGGAAACGGCTAATTATAAAAAACAAATATTATGTAAGTCAATGGTTACAGGTTTCCAACACTCTTGTGTTCAACAGATATTAAGTGAAGTTTAGTTATAAACTGATGTCGAGAGGATCAGGTGCTTATGATTGATCACAGCTGGTGCTGCATTATCCAATTCATGATTGACCAATCAGATGATTCCTAACCCACTATAAACACCCTCAGCTCCATATCACAGCCATCTTCATCTTGAAGAATCCCCCTTCCACCCCTACTCCTCCTCCTTTCCTAGATGGGTGGCCCAGTGGTTAGCACTGTTGCCTCACAGCAGGAACATCACTGGTTCTAATCCTCACCAAGCCAGCCGACATTTCTGTGTGGAGTTTAGACGTTCTCCCCGTGCTCATGTGGGTTTCCCCCGGGTTCCTCCTGCCATCCAAAAGCATGCAGCTTAAGTTAAGTGACTAATCCACATCAGCACATAGACATGCTGCTAGTCAGTAGTTATCTCTTAAGAGTGATCACTATCTGTTCATCAGCTACTACAGCAGGAGAGTCTCCACATCTACCTGAGCTCAAACTCCCCTCTCGCCCTGCAAACGGGAGGGAGCCCCGGGCTCGAGGATCTAATAAGCTCAGAGCTCTCTCCCAGGACAGCATGCCAAACACGCTTTATCATCACTCATCAGCTGAGGGTGAACTCTGGAAAACATCAACGAGGTTTAGAACAAGTAAAAGGAGAGTAAATGATGACAGAGCTGGAGTGAACTGTGCCTTTAAATGCAGCTGAATACTACACACACACACACACACACACACACACTTAGATTGTGAGTTCACATCAAAAATGTACAGACGCTTCAGTCCAATTATCTTCCAGTATGAATCATAAATAAGTACAAATTGTTTTAGGAAGACTTGTAGATGAGTGTGTGTGTGTGTGTGTGTGTGTGTGTGTGTGTGTGTGTGTGTGTGTGTGTGTGTGTGTTATGTAATATTGTAAAACGAGGTCAGTGTAAGATATTGATGTCGTTCAGCTCTGCAGGGTGTGAAAGTGTCTGCTTGACACTGGAGGATGTACAGTAGACTCTGGGCTGAAGCTGTCTGTGGAGGATCGTCTGCTGATGCTGTGGTGTTTCAGAGGAAGACTCCGCTGTTGCTGTTTCTGGACGGTTATTACAGTAATAATAATGATGCCGCTGCTGGTGTTAGCTGATCAAACGCAGAGGATTGTGGGACATTAGAGGTGTTTGTGCGTTTTATTGTGCCACCCACAGATCCGTCCAGTGATGCCACTGCAACAGAAGCCCAGCGAGACTGGAGAAATCTGAAATATTAAACACAGCTCATGCTCACGCTCTGACCTACTGAGAGACTGACAGAGACAGAGAGAGAGAGAGAGAGAGCTGTTGATCAGTGCTGGAAATAGACCTGAGGATGTTCAGAGATGCTTCAGTGCGAGTGTGTGTGTATGTGTGTGTGTGTGTGTTTGTGCTGAGTCAGGTGTGTGTGTGGATTAGCCAGTGTCCCTCAGTGCTGACGGATGTCCAGGTGAGCTGCTGTGTGTTCAGGTGTGTGTGTGTTTGCTTAGTGATTACAGCTCATGTTCGACAAACACCTGCAGAGTCACGTGTGTGTTCTGCGCTCACAGGAAACAGGTCTCCATACTGTGTGTGTGTGTGTGTAGTCCTTAAGGTGAGCGACTGCTTAGGGCGCCCAGAGATACGGCCCCCAAATAAAGACCTAGTCGCTGGTTTGAGTCTCGGCTGGGTCAGTTGGTGTTTCTGTGTGGAGTTTGCATGTTCTCCCCGTGTTGGCGTGGGTTTCCTCCGGGTGCTCCGGTTTCCCCCACAGTCCAAACACATGCGCTATAGGGGAACTGATCAACTACACTGGCCGTAGTGTATGAGTGTGTGTGTATGAATGAGTGTGTATGGGTGTTTCCCAGTACTGGATTACAGCTAGAAGGGCATCCGCTATGTAAAACATATGCTGGAATAGTTGGCGGTTCATTCCACTGTGATGATCCCTGATGAATAAAGGGACTAAGCCAAAAAAAATCAATGTTATACATATTTATTATGCATATGTAGTACACACACATACATAAAAATATACAAAACAATTTTGTAACAAAATCGGTATCATTATACATATTTATTTATATTCAGATATTATATATATATATATATATATGTTCTGACGTATGTGCATGCCTGTGTGTATTAATATATATATATACTATACACACACAGCCCGCACACACATACAGTATATCATGTAAAATCAAAGCTTTATTGTGGATGCGCAGCACTAATTTATATATAACATAGTGTTCTATTATATTTTGTATGTTGAGGGTCAAACAAATGAAACTGTAGTTTAATCATTATATCCAGATTTTTAAACGCTTTTATTTCAGATGGAGTGCTCTGAGAGAAAGTAATCAAATGAAATAATGAAATGTACAAAGTGTGCAGTTTTGGTATCCATCACTTTATGTAGAACAAATGTCCCCACAAGTATAGTAATACCAGTAAATGTTGACCTCATGGGGACATTTCTTTTGCTCCTCATGAGGAAAACAGCTCATAAATCAGACAGAATGAAGGATTTCACAAATGTAAAACTGCAGAATGATGGTGTCAAGCTCATTTTCATTCATTTTAACATATTAAAGTAATAAATAAATGCATGTATTTGCATAAACGTAAAATAGACGTCAGTTCTTTGGGTTAT